CCCCAAAACCCCAAAACCCCAAAACCCCAAAACCCCTTTCGAAATTATTCTTATAGAATAAATATATTTATGGAAAGAAAGAGCTTCAGAAGTAAGCCGCTCCATTCCTATTACTTTAACACCTTTAACACCTCTAATCACCAATAAAATAGTCAGAAAGACATCATCAAGAGGCTATATGTCCCAAAGATCATCTACAAAAAACGCAGAACCCGCTTCTGCTCAACCAAAACTAATAGGGCATCATCGTCACCTATCAATCCCATCAGAGCTAAAACTAGTATGCTCCCTCATAACCCTCCAGCAAAATCCTCAATCCCCAAAAAGCAGCACTCAGCCGCCAAAAAACCCTCTATTCCTCCATCCTGGCTTATCCCCAGCAGCCACTGCACGAATTTTGGCGAACAAGGATTCCAGCCCAGAAATTCGAAAGTAAAAATCCAGTCTAAAACTACACAGAAAATACTTATGAACCTAACTTAGCGACCCAGCGAGACCCTCAAATCACCAATATGATGCTCAAAACATCAGATTTATAGGTAAGCCAACCCCTCGCGCCCGCTTGGGTCTAACTTTCCTAAAACAGGCTCTAAACAGTCATTCAGGACGCATCAGAGCGGAAGGTCGATAAGCGGGTCAGGTCAGTGGATTCGAGAGTCGAGGCATAAAGCCATATCGTTCAAGCATAATATAAAAGATCTCAGAAAATAAGATCCTTACTTTTAACAGAGTCGAGCTTAAAGGATTCAGAGATTACCAAGTAAGCACCTATAGGAGCTGGTAGCTAATCCTGTAGGAATTCAATGAGAAAGTCGACAAAATGGTTGAAGAAGCGATAAAAAATAAGAAACAAAGAGATATTAAGAGAGGCAAAATAACCCTATCTGTGGTAAAACATGCTAAAACTGAGAGAAGAGGCAAAGGGAGTAAAATCAATGAGGTCAGGAATTTGAAGAAAAGACTAACTAAGACTATTATGAGGTAGATTTAGGAGGGTAGGAAGTATCATGATAAAAACCTTAGTATGCTCTTGCTAGTTCAATAATTAAAGAATTTATAGGGGTTTTGGGGTTTTGGGGTTTTGGGGTTTTGGGG